ACAAACCATCGCATAGTTACCATGGGACAGGAGACTGAGTATGGTTAGCAGAGTCCTCTGCTCAGTGTCTCATGAGGCTGAAATCAAGGTGGCGGTTGGGGCTTTGGTGTCCTCTGAGGCTCAGAGCTGCCTCCCAAGCTCACTGGTTGTAGTCAGAATTCAGTCCTGAGGAGAGTGGCTACAGTGTTGGGACAGGTTCAAGCCTCGGACTAATGAGAGGGCACGGTCCTCTCGTGGCAAAGCCATGTGCACATCCTAGCTTGGAGGGCAAAGCCCTCACAGCTCAATTATAGCCTATAGTTGTAAGCTTGACTTTATGGTCCAAACCAGTGATCCCAAGTGGCTAAGTGGTATAGGCTGCGGGAGGTGCAGCAAATAAACAAAGCTTTATTGGGTGCATGTAATTGAGTAGATTCAAAACCCTTGAGAACATTGTTAACATCTTAAGCACCCCCTTACTTTGCCTTAAATAAAATAAAGACTTGGCTCGCAAGCTGTGGTGCTGTCTCTCCATCAGAGAAGCAGCATTCCATCTTGCCCCAGCTTTATTCTCTTGTTTGTCTTCTCCATCCTTCACTGTCCCCTCTCAGGTTCACCCATGGCTGTGGCAGTGGCATCCACTAAACACTAACTTCCCACCTCCACCCCCACCCTCAAGAAACTACTGTTCTTCTGCCTCTGCGAACGTGACTTTTGTAGAGACCTCATCTCAGTGGAATCACACAGCATTTGTCCTTTTCTGTCCAGTTTATTTCACTCAGCAGAATGTCATCAAAATCATTAAATTTGTTAACGTTCTTTTGCCTTTTTGATTAGAGTCTTGTTCATTTCTAGTTAAAACTGATAAAATATTCTTAGAAATTATGATAAGTGATATTTTAAGGGAAACCATTTTGTCTTTGATTATAAAAACAAAGAGACAAGAGAAAGCATTTTCCTAGTTTTCTAAAAAGAGTTTATGCCTGGTTGGTATGGCTCAATGGTTGAGCATCGACCTATGAGCCAGGAGGTTGCTGGTTCGATTCCCAGTCAGGGCACATGCCCTAGTTGTGGGCTTGATCCCCAGTGTGGGGCAAGCAGGAGGCAGCCAATCAGTGATTCTCTCTCATCATTGATATTTCTAGCTCCCTCCCTCTCCCTTCTTCTCTGAAATCAATTAAAAAATATTTTTAAAAAGAGTTCATAAATAGAATATGCAGTAAAGTGATATTATGTAACATCGAAGTGATCCATGGAAGCAAAGGTGCAAATTACCTGAAACAATGCTAAATTTCTAATTATTGCCTAATTCTTAATTCGGTTATCCTATTGTTGTAGTGTAACCTCCATCTTACAAAGGATGCCTCAAAAAAGTCGAATTATGGAGTTATTTATTAAAGGCCAGAAGCAAAAGCACTCCAGACCTCGCAGTCCCGAACAGCTTGCCACGCCTGGCTATATATTGGCAGAATTTCACAAAAGTATTGATTACATTTTTTGGTCTGGAATGAGGAACCTGTTTCGAGGTTTTACAGAGTGAAACTGAGCAAGTTAGTTATCTAAAGTATTTATGAATCACTGAATCAACAGAAACACATTATCTGGGAAAACCGGGACAATTTAGAATAATTGTGCTGTCCAGATTCTGGGATCACTGAGTCAACAGGAATTCACTATCTGTAGCTACTAAGGCAATTTAGGATAATTGAACTGTCTTGGGTCCCAGGAATGTGCTTCAATGACCAGTGAGATCACAATCAATGGAATATTCAAACCGCCATCAATGGATTATTCACTCATACATAAGTTCAGAAAATCAAAATAACCTTTAAAGGAGTACAGAACCTAAAACAGCAAGGTTAAAATATTAAACAGCAATTTTTACCCAAGTATGGTTGCTACCATACTTCACTGTGACTTTATTTACTTTGGAGGAACAATATTTTAAAGTTTTTGTTGGAATAAATGAGAGCAGCAAATTGCTTTAGTGACTTCATTGGTAATTTTAAGCACTTCAGAACTTAGGTTTTTATTTTTATCCCTGAAAGAAAACTTGAATGAACATAACTGATCTTTTTAGAGGAAAAAAAAAAAGAAAAGCAGGAAAGAGGGTGTGAAAAATAAATAAGGAAAGAGAAACAAATTCTTGGCATATGGCATATTTCCCTTTCATGTATTCTCACTGAAAAAGCTAGGAGAAAATAAGAAACTGAGAAGCAAAATTAATCCTAATTAGGTTCATTTTGGGAAAGCAATCCCTTTGCATGATTACCCATTGTGAGGTGTACATTTGGCCCCCTCTGTGCAATGAACACCTAACTGTGGAAGGAAAGGGCCTGGAGACTGATCATCCTGGACTCACTCCTGACATGTACCGAAGCCATAGTGGACTGACAGAGGAGAAAAACGTCTCAAAGACACAGAATCAAAGAATGCATGGCCTCTCAGAATGGATGTTAAAGGGGACAGGTATGAGATCCCCTGACAGCCAAACCTATGGATGACCTGGAATCACGGGATTTGGTGATCATTTTCATGGTAGAAATCATACCAACACTACCTGGAAAATGATTCTAATTCTTTGTGATTGCCACTCGTGCTATTCACATATTTTGGATTAAGAAGGATCATGAAAAAAAAAAAAAAAAGGGTAATGAAATGTGAACATACTCAATTTTTCATACCTGCGTAATGACCAAGTTAATCTAAACTTGCAAGGGTAACCAACTCAGTGGCACTGCCAAAAGCTCCTCCCAGGAGTGGGAGGCAATGTTTCATCAACACATTCCAGGAAAAATGGACTGGTAGAGCATGGTGGAGTAAGATGGCCTCAGTGACATTTCTTACCCAAGACCTCGCTCCCCACAGCATTCCTGCAGGGTTACAGGCATCCATTCTGGATAGACTTCTCTGTACACTTTTGTCTTGCACGTGCTAAAACTTTGTGCCTTCCCTTTATTCTATCATAATAAAGCTTAGTAGGTGAAATAGCAGTTTAGGTACATTTAATCTTTTCACCATTTATTCAGTACCTATTATGTGTTCAAGGGACTGTGCTACGCCCTGGGGAGTAAAAAGCAATCAATAATTGAAGTCATCCTCAACAAGTTCACACTCAGGCAGGAAGACAGACATTTAGATTCGTGGATCTCAAAATTTGCATCTGGGAGCTTTGCAAAAAAAGTTGATGTTTGAATCCACTCTAGACCAATTGAATAAAAAGTGTCTAGGTTGGCAGGTGGGGTCCAGGGGGATAAATAAGTGCCACTAAAGTGGTGTCATTAACTGTGCTAAGGGAGGGAGTTAACTAGTTATAACTGAGAAGGAACTGAGGAAGATGTGTAGGAAAGTGACATTCAAGTGTGAATGTCAAAGATGAGTAGGATTTTGTGAGACAAACAAGGAGTGGGGTAGAAGATTCCAGTCAAAAGGGATAAAGGAGTTGAGAGGGTAGCCTGTGTGAGGTACAGAAACAGTTTCAGCCATTAAAGAATTCTAGAACCAATCATGGGAAGATAGCTCTGACATAACTCTGAACCTGTGGTAACAGTGACGAACAAAAGGTATACAGAAGGCTCCACCAAGGATTCTCATCTGAAGAGGTCAAGCCGCCTACCTGAAAATAAAACATGTTAATAACCCACACTTTCCTGCTTTGTTTTCAATCAGCAGTTTTTCCTTCAGATTTGTTATTTGATGGCCCAGTAACAAAGATCCCCCTACCCCATGACCATTTGATAATTGTTTGAACCGCCCTTCCAATAAGACCTTGCTTTTTGACCCTCCTTTATTTTCACTTAGAAGTTGATGAATCCAAGATTTCTGATTTCCATCCTAGTCCCCTCTGGGGTGAAGGGGAGGAGTGGTGAGCAGGTGTTTATGAGTCTGTGCACAGATGTGGGTGTGGATGTGGCCTGAGCATCCAGCTGTAGACCCTCAGTTTCATTTCAGTTTTGAGGTTTGCAGCCTATCTATTGCCTCTTTCTCCTGATGTATCACATCAGACCAAATGGTGAAGCAGCCATACTGTGGGTCAGGGATAGGTTCCGAGGACCCAAAGCTGACTAAGATTATTCCATTCCCCTGGGATATTTACTAGCCAGGGATTTTCACTCAACACAGGCGTAAGGCAATCACCTGACGGCATTCCCACAGCCTAGTGACTGAGTAGCCAGGAATTGGCACAAGACTTAGCTGTTTTAATTGGAGAGGAAATTCTCTTTCTCTTTAGATGTATGTGAAGAAACTCGTAGACCCTGGAGTCTCTGGCAGCCAGCCATTGCACTTTGAACTTACTGTGATATTGCCCATATATTCCAACCTTGCACCAACACAATCCATTATTGTATAAGTCTGTCTATGGTAGATTATCCATAAAGGTGGCCCCTGACAAATTCTTTATCCCTTTATGTACGAGGTCCTCCTCTACCAAGAAGTGAAATCTATTCTGCCTTTCCCTTGAATCTGGGCTGTCTTTGGAACTTACTTTCCCCAACAGAATATGACAGAAGTGATGTTCCCAGCTCAGGTTTTCAGCAGTGGTATCTTGTCTTCTTTGACCCTCTTGGGACCCAGCTGCCATGGAAAGCAGCTCAGGCCAGACCACTAAACAATGAGATACCGCAGAAACCGGTTTGGCTCAGCGGTAGAGCGTCGGTCTGCAGACTGAAAGGTCCCAGGTTCGATTCCAGTCAGGGGCATGTACCTTGGTTGCGGGCACATTCCCGGTAGCGGGTGTGCAGGAGGCAGCTGGTCGATGTTTCTCTCTCATCGACCTTTCTAGCTCTCTATCTCTCTCCCTTCCTCTCTGGAAAAAAAAAAATAAATAAAATAAATAAAAAAAAAAAATATATATATATATATATATATATATATATATATATATATATAAACAATGAGAAACCATGGGAAGAGAGAGCAGCCAACCTGCTCCCAGCTCCCCAGCTCAAATGCTGACATATGACTGAAGCCATCTGAACCAACACCAGATGGAGTAGAAGAACCATGTCACCAAACCAGAGTCCTGAGAAATAGTACCTCATGTTATTTAAGCTCCCCAGTGTGTGATGGCTTATTATACAGAAATAAATGATTCTCCAATGGCAAAGAGAGGGAGTGGATTGATAATTTTCAGGGGGAAAGGAGTATGGGTGGTGCAGGAAGAGACTGATTAAAATCGTACATGTATGGATGAGGACAACTGGAGGGAGGTAAGGGCAGAGGGTGGGGTGGGAACAGGGTGGAAGGAAGCTATGGGAGGGGAGGAGAAACAATTGTAATAATTTGAGCAATAAAGATTTATTAAATTAAAAAAAACAAATGATTCTCAAGAGCGAGTTGGGTCTTCTGTTACTTATATGGAATCTTCTCTGGTTTGTTTAAATAGGCTTCAAGTTTAAATGCTGTTAGCCTCTAGTAACCAAAAAATCCAACTCAATAAGGATATCTATTATTTTCATGATATGAAATCCCTTATTAGGGCCACAGCAGGATTGGTTAATGGTTCAATCGTTTCATTAAGGACCCATAGTCTTCCCATTTTCCACTGTCATCCCCAGGGTTCCTCAGGTTACCTCCGGTCAGGGATGTAAGAGGCTGCAAAAAGCCAGACATCACATCCAGACAGACAACATCCAGCAGGCATCAAGGAATATTTCTTCTTTATATGCCTTTTTTTTAAGAGTGAGGAAACTTTTCCCAACATCAGGATTCATTAGCTTAAACTTGTTTTAAACTAATTACAGGAAAAGTGGAGTTACCAAGATTAGCTCCACATGAAACAGTTTACCCTAGCCATGTAGAAGGCCGACACCTGGACCAAGGTGTGTTTCTGCCAGCAAGAAAAAAGGGCATGGTTGCTGCACTGGTAACCATGGTGTCTACTACAACACGAAATTAACATTAATCATGGAATGAAACAGACACTCTTGAAAGACAGGCCGCCTTTACCCAGCCGCCTTAAGTGGTCTCCGGTTCTGTTCTTCCACACACATCTCTGCCTCCCCGGCAGGGCTCCCCTCCCCGCCCCCCCCCCCCCCCCCCCACACACACACTCCAAATGTCCGTTTTCAAGTAGATAGCTACTCAAAACCCCAAACTAGCAGTTGGGGTCCTGACAGGAAGCAGAAGGCATTCTTGGGAGGAAATTTGGAAGAGAATGTGATGAAGGGACCATTTGCTGCAGTGCAGTCCTGGTTCAACAGCCATCAGAGGATGCTGTTACCCAGGGACCAGCAACAATGGGAGGCAGACCTCACTTCCCCAGGCTTAAGAGGCATGGGGCAGAGAACAGTAGTTCCTGGAGCTTGACAAGATACAATGGAAAAGGAAGCCCAATAAGAATTGTCCTCTCAGAGGCAGGCAGATCTGCCAGGCCAGGGTGCGGTCAGACAGAGAGGAGGGAAGAAATACCCCAGCCTCTCTCCGTGGGCTCCAGTCTGTAGCTGGCACCCCTTTTGGCTGAGGGCGGAGGCCCACAGGTGGGGGCGACTCCCTGTTGCTTCCGCCTCCGGGGCGGGTTCGGGGAGTTCGGCCCTGGAGGCGGGCGGCCTATAATGCCTATAGGCCTTTGGGGCACAGAGCAGGACAGAGAAGGCAGAGAATAGATTTGGTTAATGAGTGGAGAATCAATGAGTTAATCAATGACCAAAAATTGAAACATTTTATTGAAGTAGTTTCAGAATCCAGATACTTTATTACCATTCATTAATACTCATCCCTAGTCATCCGTGACTAACTCAAAAAGTGCCCAATACTGCTTCTCTTCCGCAGCCAGGCAGGACAACATTCACATTCAATTGCATTCCTGCCCGGGTGAGGAGTCCTGCTCCCTACAGGTGGCTAAAGATGTTTGTTAATGCCTCTTGATGACCTGTGAGAGGGGAAGGGAGATTGTAAACAAAGTACATCCATTAATTCAAGGCTGACTGTGTAGTTGAAGAGAGAGTTTGTTTCACTGTTGGGAAAACAGAGACGTTCCCTAGAATTGAAATCATGGTGCTATGGGACAGTTCTCAGGTCTGGTTCAGAACTGCCAGCACCAAATGTGTGCCCCCCGCACTTGGAGGCAGGGCAAGCCTGGAGTTTTTACCCAGGTCCGGGCTGGGCCTCCTGGTGGAACTGCTCAAGCAGAGCCTGGGGCAGATGCGGAAGCTGGACCGGCCAGACCGGGAGAGGGCTGCCCGCGGGGGCCGGCGGCGGCTGGTGTAACAGGTTCTAAGGCTGGCTCCAATCCCCCCTACGCTACCGGATTATAAGGGTCTGGAGATTTGGGGCAGGAGGCCAGGGCCAGGGATCCGGTCGTGTTTTAGAAAGAATCACGGATCCTAGGTGGGAGACCCAGTACTGCCCTGGGCAGACACCTGAGCCGCACTCCCGCCCAGTCTCACCGGAGCAGCAGGAGGGGCCCCGCGTGGGTGCTGGACTCCCAAGGGCGCGCGACCCGGATCCGGGTTAGCCTGTCCCCACCCGTCTCCCCTCCCCCGCGGGCCCCCCTGGGGTACCTTCGCCACCTCTCTCCCACCGACAGGCCTTCAGCAGAAAGATTAAAGTTTCGGGTCGGAGTGCGACAGGGGCCCGGGTACTCCGGCCGAGGCAGAGGGACGGGGAGGCGCGGGCTTCCGCGGGGCACCCAGCGCCCGCCGCCCGCCTCCACGGCCGAGCTCCCCGAACCCGCCCCGGAGGCGGAAGCAACAGGGAGTCGCCCCCACTTGTGGGCCTCCGCCCTCAGCTCCCGGCTCCTCTCTCCGCCCTCGCTCCGGGGGCCGGGAACCTGCCGGGGGCGGGGAGGGAGTAAGGAAGGGCCGGGCGCGGGGCGGGCGGGGGCCGGGCCGCGGGGCGCATGCTCACACGCGCCCGTGACGTGAGCGCCGGACCGGCGGCCGGAGGCTGGGCTGAGGGTGCGCGGGGCGGCGCGCGGAGGACCCGGGAGGAGCGTGGAGGAGAGAGCAGATCCCAGCAGATCCCCGAGCAGAGCTGGGAGCACCACAGCAGCAGCAGGATCCGCCCGGGGTTTCCGCGCTCCCGGCCGGAGCCCCGCCGCCCCCAGCCCCGGGCGCGAAGCCACCGCAGCCACAGCAGCCCCCGCCGCGCCGGCCGCCGCGGGCCGGGCGGGGCATGAGCGCTGCGGGGCCGCGGCCGCCCCCCGCACCGCCCGGCGGCGCGTCCCGGCTGTGACCGGGGCGGGCGCGCGCGGCCGGCCACGCTCGGGCCGGGGGCCCATGGGCGCGCTGAGCCAGGTGCCGGGGCGCTGAGCGCGGGCGGCGGGCGGCGGGCGCGGCTGGAGGAGCCATGGACTGCAGCCTCGTGCGGACGCTCGTGCAGAGATACGTGAGTGCTGCTGCCCTCGGGGGGACCGGGAGCCGGGCGGGAACGGGACCTGGGGACACCGACGCCGCCGCCGCCCCTAGCGCCCCCCGATCCCGCTGCGGACACCAGCCCCGGGGTCCCTGGCGACTTGGCCGTCTCCCGGGGGGGCGAGCAGGACGCGGGGAGGACCTACGCGCGGAGTTTGCACCCTCCCGGTGCTTCCGACGGGTGCAACCCTCCCGGCCCCCACCTGCTCCTCCCGGTGCACCGGCGCGCCCCTCCCCGGAGCCCGCGCCGGGATGGGGCTGTCCGCGCGGACCTTCCTCCTGCGGCTCCGCTCCGGGCCCCGGGCCGGAGGGATGAGCAGGTCCGGCCTCCGCCTGTCACTTCTCTCCTGGCGGATTAGGAGATCCGGAGGGGTTTACCCTTGCACAGGAAAAGGCGGTGATTTTTGCTGGTTTGCCCACTCCACTGGGGGGATTCCGAAGTGAAGTTTGGAATCTTCCCTGTAACCAATCAGCTCCGAGGCCCCGGGCGTTCTGAAGTCCCCTGGAACCCACGTTCCTTGGCGACCGGGTGTTGGGGTCAGGGGGGCAGGCCGGGAGGGGGGGAGGTTAGTTTTGTTTTACCATCGCAACCGAGGGCCCACTGCGTGTGGCAGCGATCGCTGGCGCTGGATGGCAAAAAGGGGTGGGTGTGCCGAGGGAGAGAACACACTCCGCCGGGTTGTTTCCCGGACGCTGTCGTTCGCCTACGGCTCGTTGTTCCCCGACGGCTGCTGGCCCCTGGCCGAGGTGGGTCACAGGTTTGGGAAGGCCGGCGCTCGGAGGTGTGGGGCCAGAGAGGGCTTTATGATGGGAACTTCATAAGACTTTTGTGTGCCCCCCCCCCATTGGAATTACCATAGGCAGTCTTTCATAGGTATGAGCTTTCTTTGAGAAGGAGATCCTGGCACAAGGGGAAAGTTTCTTTGTTTCTTTTCATCCAAGGGGAACGCCAAATCAGTGTTTTTGTCTCCTGAATCTAGTCACTATCCAGAAGACTCAGAAGTCTAGGAAACTTGTGTGCCCCTTTCGTAGTTCTTTCCTTTCGGAAGTCAGAGTTACCTTAAGTGGAGAGAATCTCTCTCTCTCTCTCTCTCTCTCTCTCTCTCTCTCTCTCTCTCTCTCTCTCTCTCTCTCTCTCTCTCTCTCTCTCTCTCGATTCTAGCTTAGCTGATGAAAGACTCATGTTATTTCCCAAAGTCCATACTGTAATGTGAGTAGTAAACATCAGGTGCCACCTTTGTGTGTGTGTGTGTGTGTGTGTGTGTGTGTGTGTGTGTGTGTGTTTACAGGAATATGTTTTAGAAAAACCAGTAATAGTGACCATAGGTAACCAGATTTATAAGAGAAATCTTTCTTGGCCAGGTTACCTTCTTTTCTCAGCTGTATTACCCAGGAGGTGTGGGTCCCTCGCCAGTTATTTTCAAACTGCCTCGGTTTTCCTCAAAGGGAAAATGTACTCAAACTATTTTTCGCATTAACTTTAACCCTCTTCCAACTCGTACATTTTGCAGTAAAAAGAAGGGTTGAGTTGTGAGAAGTAAAGCGCCGTTTCGTCTCCATGAGAGGTGAAGGGTGGATGGGACATCTTTCCCCTGTCTGACCTCCCCACCTCCTGACGACTCCATCCTGAGACTGGGGCGGACATTATGTCCAATTTTTGTGTATCTTTTACTCTCTTACTTCCTCCAGGCCTTCAGCTGTTTTTTGTTATATCAGTCTATAGAAATGTCAATGTAATTTACATTTTAAAATTCCCTTTTGCTCTGTTGTTAGACATAGGAAAAATTTTTTTCTCTCAAATCCAAGTGGTAAATATTTTTTAATGGACTTTCCCAGCATATGCATTATTGGTAATGTCCCTGGACTGCAAGCTATGGGATACTGTTATTATGTCTATTTTTCTGGACTTTTTTTTCTCAGTCTGGTCATTTGGGTACTAAACCATTCACATACAAAGTCATTCCTTTCTATGCTGTTAAGCTCATGTCCATGCTATTAAACTAATTTGACCTTTCCCAGAAACAGTCATGATCTGTTATAATTTAGTTATCTTTCCAAAGATGTGTAGGACCACATTATATTTCCTTTTGCTAGAGGAGGGAAAAGTCTGGGGTTGACTTTCAAATTTCCTGCAGTTGTGGCTTAAATCCTCTTCTCTGGTAGTGATCACATAGTCAGAATTTCTAGGAGAAAGAAAACTTCTCAGCTGCTTCTGATGCAGGAGGGTTGCCAAATGATAAAGACGTCATTAGAAAACATTGCTGTAGGTATTTTATTCCTGGTTAATCCCAAAGAGAGAGAATAGGCAAGTAAATGAGAGAATTCTCTTCCAGGATTGGCTGTATATACAGCAGCAGGTTGCAAAGCATATATTACTGTTTGTTTGAATGTCTGGAGGGATATAAGCCATTTAGAGATGTTTTGTATTTATAAATAGAACAGTGCTTATGTATCATGAAGTAGTTTGATGTGTGTGTGTGTGTGTGTGTGTGTATGTGTGCGCGTGTGTGTTAATCCTCACCCGAGGATATTTTTTCCATTGAAATTTTAAAATATATTTTTATTGATTTTTTACAGAGAAGAAGAGAGAGGGACAGAGTTAGAAACATCAATGAGAGAGAAACATCGATCAGCTGCCTCTTGCACACCCCCTATTGGGGATGTGCCTGCAACCAAGGTACATACCCTTGGCCAGAATTGAACCTGGGACCCTTCAGTCCGCAAGCCAACGCTCTATCCACTGAACCAAACCGGTTTCGGCTCCATTGATTTTTAGAGAGATTGGAAGGGAGAGAGAAACATCTATTGGTTGCCTCCTGAATGCGCCCTCATCAGGGCCGGGGTTTGAGTCTGCAACCGAGATATGTGCCCTTGACCAGAATTGAACCCGTGACCCTTCAGTTGGAGGGCCGACACTTTATCCGCTGAGCCAGCTGGCTAGGACTGATCTGTTTGTTAAAGAAATTTTTAACCAAATGGATAGAAAACTAATGTTATCTCCTTTTTGTAGATGTGAGGTAGAAAACTTGGATTCAGGTATATAGTTTAAATTCTGAAAGAAAACAGAGTTGCCTATAGATTCTGTAGGCATAGTTACAGTATAATCTTGGGCAGGTTATTTCTTCTTCTCTGCCTCAGTTTTCTTACTGGAGAATAATAGAAGCACCGGATTAATAGGGTTATTTTGGGGATTAAGTGAATTCATTACAGGCCTAGAGCTAAAAAGAGTGCCTGGCTCCGGGGAAGTGCTCAGTGAGTTTATCACTACTCGCTGTTAACATAATGTTGTTGATGATGCTGTTAACATAATTTTGGGACGGTGGGCAAGGAGAGAGCAAGCACTTCTGTTGGTCAGTTAGCAGGGGCCCGGGATGCGGTGAAGAGGTAAGCTGGGCACCCTGCTGTTGAGCAGTGTGTAGGCCTCAGATAAGATGTGGCAAACTTTACAGCAAGGGTGTGCTAAAATACGGCAGGCCAAACAAAAAGTCTACAGGCCACGTCTGGCCATAACATTTCTTTATGGGTGAGCCTTCCAGGCCTGGACCACCTCACTGGCAGGACGCTTCCTTTCCTCCCTCTCATCCGTGCTCCACCTTTAGGAGATTTGACTTTAAAGTTCTGTAGGCCAAGAGCTTTCTTTAGTTGTGTCTCTGTAATTTGTTTTCAGTTCTTCGGCCTGGATACTGCTTACTGGTTTTGTTTTGCTGCTTGTCAAAGTTTCTGCTACCCTGTTTCCCCGAAAATAAGACTGTCTTATATTAATTTTTTCTCCCAAAGTTGCGCTAGGTCTTATTCTCAGGGGATGTCTTATCTTTCTATGCGCTAGGTCTTATTTTCGGAGGATGTCTTGTTTTCGGGGAAACACGGTAATTTCCATTTTATAATGTTTTTTTCCTAGGATATTTCTTCTTTTTTGGGGGGGGGGTCATTTTAATATTTACAAGGAACAAATCAGCAGAACAAGATTATAGCAGATAGGCTGTGTACAGTAGCTGTGACTTATAAAACATACTCTAGGATATTTCTTACGTGTTTTTTTTTAATGCTTTTATTTTTATTTTTATTTATTTAAAAATATATATTTTATTGATCCTTTTACAGAGAGGAAGGGATAGAGATAGAGAGCTAGAAATGTCGATGAGAGAGAAACACTGACCAGCTGCCTCTTGCACACCCCTTACCGGGGATGTACCTGCAACCAACGTACATGCCCTTGACCGGAATCGAACCTGGGACCTTTCAGTCCACAGACCGATGCTCTACCACTGAGCCAAACCGGTTTCAGCGGATATTTCTTACGTTTTAAGATTTTAAGATAGCAAGCTTAAGAAAAGCAGGTTTTCCTTGCTTCCAGTAGATATTTGGTTTTGAAGTAGTTTGTTACATAAGGATTTTCTTTATAAGGGAAAAAATAAACATTATTAGTTCCTGGAGAAGCATGGCTGTGCTAGAGTGCTTAAAACCTTCTAAAAAGTCCAAACACTTTTATTTATTTTTTTATTGTCTAAAGTTTTATATGTGCCTTCTTTTTCCCATATTGACCCCCAACCTTCCCACCCCTGAGGACAAGCCCCCCTCACTCCAGTGTCTGTGTCCATTGTTTATGCTATTATGCATGCATGCAAGTCCTTTGGTTCATCTGTAAACACCCTGCCCCCCATCTCCCCTGCCATTTGTCTCTGGATCTATTTTTGTTCATCAGTTTATGGTGATCATTATATCCTACCTCTGAGTGAGATCATGCGATCTTTATCTTTCTCCAACTGGCTTATTTCGAGTAGCATAATGCTCTCCAGGTCCATCCATGCTGTTGCAAATGGTAAAAGTTTCTTTTTTATAGCGGCACAGTGTTCCATTGTATAGATGT